CAGAGCTATGCTTTTCAGCCAGATCTACCATGCTGGTCAAGCATTATTGCTGAAAGTACACTATATATATATATTTAGGTAAACAGAATTTAGTAAAAGTCTAAGGTCACTTCTAAGAGACCCAGTCAGTCTCCTATCACAAAAAGCTAAAAATATCTGCTCTCACAATGATCATGTTATACTTGGCATGCTAAGTGTTGATTTGAGGGTGTAAGGCCAGTTTTAGAGTGAGATGGTCTACCCTCTTGGCATCAGGGCGATGAATCAAATTTACTTCAGTAATTCTATTTGACTATGCAGTATATCATATCTGAAGTGTCTGAATGCAAATGAAGGCAGCACTCACTATGATGGAAGCCCCACTATTGTTTGCACTGTCCTTTCTTTGACTAGAACTGCCATTCCCATCATCTTTTCTAAAGCCTTTGAACGGAGAACATTTAATAGAAGAGAAAGAACGTGTCTTTGGCAACTTTCTTCCAATAACTGGAATGTAAGAACAGCAAATCCACTGCAGATAAACCCAGGAAATACCAAGATTTGTGCTCTTCCTCCATTGCCTTTGAATGCTTCTCTAACAAATAACATTTGTTGTTTTCTTGGAAGGAATATAGTAAAGCCTCTCAAGCTTTTACATTCCTATGCAGAAATACCAGTAAAGTATGAGTGTACGGCCGAGCTTCACTTCCCAGAGTTGTCTGGATTCCCAACTGCTGGAGTCAACTAGGACCATGCCAAAGGAAAGTATGGTGTCCCACTATGATGCTGCCAATTGATGTGTTGAGGTGGATTGCTTTGCTTTGATGGAAATCCCTTTTTGGCACATGCACAAAAAATATTATCAAACTCTAATGCAACAACTGTCTCGACTAGCAAACCTTTGGTTGTGACCACTTGGACATTTTATGTTGTGAACTGATATCAAAGAACACTTAACAGAACGCCAACTGAAGTGGCTGTTTCTATTCTAAACCAAAGGTCTCCAAACTTGGCAACTTTAAGACTTGTGGACTTCAACTCCCAGAATTCTCCCATAGGACCCCTGATCTAAACCCTGAAATCATTTTAATTGCATTGCAGTAAATATAGTGCAAACCTTATTGCAAATCTTATTTCACTATTTTCATAATCACCTGAAAAACGAATGCAAATATTACTAAACAAATTATCAAAGGGAAAACTTAGTAGTGTAATAGTTCTGCTTATCTATTTGGAGACAGAGAGTGAGATTGTCTGTTATGCTTGAATATGCGTTTTAAACTTGATCTTTTGGGAATAGGTACAGAACCCAATCCCTGAAAACAAACTGACTTTAAGGATTTTCTGCCAAAATCTATTCTGTGTCCATTTATAAAATACTTGCAACATAACTTAATCTGCTCTGTTTCAACTTGTTGCTGAATTATACCCTGGAAGGTGACAGCATAGCAACATCTGTGATTTACTGCCCAGCTGTCAGTGTCATATGCAAAGTGACGTTTTTTTTAATTGCATACAACAAATAAAAGAAGGTTGGAGAAGAATATCCTGTAAAATCTACTGAGGTTTTAAATCAAGTTACATAAATGCTTTGCTGTAAAAACCAAGAAACAAATGCAGAAGAACTAACCTGGCAGCTAAAGTTCAATTGGATTATGACACCAAATCAGTGTCAACTCTTAGCAATCAGAAAGATAGATTTTTCTCCGGGACAATTTGTCCCCAATCTCATTCTTCAATCTCCTAGTGTTGTGCCCACTGCCACTGTAATCAAGGCCATCTATCTTGATGCTTCTTGCTGCCTTCAGTTTTTTCTTCCATCTTTCTCAGTATTATAGTTTATCTAAAGAATCAGTTCTTTATATAGTGTGTATGACGTATAATTTGAGGCTACTCATTTCTGCCTTCAATGAGAGTTCTGGGTTCATTTTTTTTATTCATTTGTTTGTTTTCTTGGCTATCCATAGCGTTCTTGGGACCAACACCAAAATGCAAAAATGTCTCTTTTTATCCTGCTTCTTCCAAATCTAACAGTATAATTCTAACTTTTGTATGTACAGACATGTTATGTATCTCAATATATTTGCCAAGGTTTTTACTACTACTTTACCATGTGCTTAGACTGCAGTCTTTTCTTGACTGCTTGTTCCTTTCTGCTTGTTTAGTTGATCCAAAAAGATAGAAAATACCCACCACTTCAATCTCTTGGAGTGATATTTTCAATAAGGCTAGTTGCTGTACCTACTGCCATTATTTTTGTCTTCTTTATATATAACTTTAGCTCCATTTTCTGCTTTCCTTCATGACTTCCATTATTAGAGCTGTCAGATCATTCACTATCACACACTATCAAAGTAGTATCGTCAGCATGGTGTAAGCTATTGTTATTTTTCCTCCAATTTTAAAAAATATTCCAATGCAACTTCCTACAGTAGATGTTTCACATACAGGTTGAATAAATAAGGTGACAGTATATAGCCTTGTCTCATTCCTTTGCTTTCCTGGAGTCATTCTGCTTTGTAATGTTTGTTTCAAATGAGGCTTCCTAATCTGTGTATAGGTTTCGCATGTAGACAATGTATTCTGGAATTCTGACTTCTGAATGACACATTTCAGAATGTGACATGATGGACACAACTGAAATCTGTCTGAAGAACATACAGACTTCTTTTTCATATTCTTTGACTTTTTCAATTATTCAGCATGAATAAATAATATATCTTGTTCCTTGGCCTCTTCTAAACCCATTTGAACAACTAGCATCTCTCTTTAATAATGCTTCCAATCATCAATCTGGGTTGGATGACTGGAAGCATTATTTTGCTTGCAGGTGAAATTAAAGACACTGTAAGATAATTTGCACACTTCATTAAACCTTCTTTTCTGTAAAGTGATCTCTTTCAATATACTGGCCACTATGCTGTTCTCCAAATTTGTTGGCATAGATTGGTTACAACCTTTACTGATTTGACATCTGTTACTGGCCATATTTTTGTATATTCCTGTAGCCTTCTGACTTGGTAATAAGCGGGCATTGCGCTAACTTCATCTTCTAGCAGTAGGAAATGATCTACTTGGAATCAGTTACTATCTGCCCATTTGCATCCTTTAACATACCAGTTCAAGGTCAGAACTTACTTCTGACTTTGGGTCAGAAATCTTCAGCCTTTTCCGCCCATAGTTTTAAAAATCTGTTCTGTAGCATCGGTCATATACTTGACAAAAACCACTGCATGCTAGTTCTTGATCCACTCAACTTTTTCAGATTTTCATCTTAATTTAACCTGCAGCAGAACATAGGCCGAGTTCAATTTCTCAAACCTGGTCCAAATGATGCCTTTGTTTTTTTTATTTAATTTTATTTAAAATTACAATTGCAACAATAAAAACTAATACAAATAAAAAAATAAAAAGTACAAAGAATAATAGAAGGTGCAGAAAAGAATACAGGAAAAAAGAATAAAGAAAAAGAAATATATAAAGAAATGATTTCCCCTTCATTACAAGTATAAATAATTTTAGTAACTTATCACCTTTTCTTAAAATGTAACAAATGATCTGTTTTCCTCATATCCTATCTCTTTTTTATAAATAGGTCCATAGAAACCTCATCATTTTAAACCCTGATATCAGAAAAAAATCCTTTACGTGTTCCCAGAAGTAACAACGTATCAATTTTAATCTTAATCAAATAAACCAATTCTATTATTTTATTCAACCACCTTGATCTTTAGTCCCTTCTGATGATGTCCTAGAACTTGATTTATTTTAATTTTCTGTTTTGTCCCTTCTCACAAAATTCTTCAAGCTTTAAGAAGCCTCTTTTGTAAATCCAATACATGTCCTCTCTTTGTCTGGAGAGAGATTATTGAAGACACAGTTTACTCACTCTACCTTTTGTGGAACTGTCTTCAATCCGCCATTTCTTCTCTGGAAATCCCGATACCTTTGTGTTTATATCATAGTATACAAGAAGTGATATGCAATCCCTCTCTTCTCTGAGTTGTGCTTGGTATCAGTAAGAATTGTGGGTGTGCCACTGCTCTCTGAAACAGAAAGCCTTTGGATATACATGACAGCTTTCTTATGAACTGGAAATCTTATTTGCTGCTTTTCAAACAGAATCTAGAATTATAGAGTTGGAAGGATTCTCAAAAGAAATTTAATCCAACCTTGTGATTGATGCAAGATCTAATAAAACATTTTTGAAATGCTGAATTTTAGATAAGAATGTTTTGTCTGAATAGATCCCGTGTTAACCATAAAAGTGAAAGAGTTTTGTGCACCTGAATGCAACTATGTTTCTCTTTACTTTACAAAAATATCCTAGAAAGCTAGGATTGGGAACTACCTTGGCAAACAAGGGATTTATAAGAAGCTGGGAAAATAAGTTTATTTAAACCATGGTTTCATAGCTTGGCATTTTTATGTTTCTAGGATCAGCTGCAACTATAAACTATGATTTCTTGACTTACTTTTCCATTCAGCTGAAAGGGCAGGAAAAGTCTTTATGATGAGCTTTGTGCATAAAGATATTTTATCCCTAAGGGAAGGAATTGATGATACTTTGCAAGTTTGGAAAAAAAAATGACTGAAAGATAGGAAGTATGATTTCTGGATAGGATTGCATTATGGACAACAAGAAGAATCAACAAGGGATTTAAAAAGAGTAGCCTGACAATCCTGCTTAAGAAAATGAATAAGCCTTATGTATAATCTGCCATGCAGTGGCTGTAACCATTGGTAAGTAACTAAGGAAAAGCAGTTCTCTAAGCTTAGGACATTTAAGACTTGAGAGGTGTACCCAGTCCAAGTTTTATTAATACCCCTACTGAACTTGTTCTCATCTCTATAAGTAACTTTACCTATTAAAGAAAGAACAAATCAGAGAGATCCTGATTTCTGAAACATGAGTGGAACTTCAAATTCTTACAAAAATTAGCTTCTATTTTCTATATCCATCAATATACTTTTCTATATTGAAAAGACTATTAGAGATTCTGTAAGAAAGGACATGGTACCTGGCAGGAGCTGTTGGATAAATGACTTTTATATGTTGGAAAGACAAATCTTGCTTCAAAACTTGCTTGATCCAGTCTCTTACCCCTTGACCAGTATCACCTGAATAACACAGAAAGATAGAAGTGAATTAGACATCTATGCAATGGAGCAATGTGAGCTGTCTTATGAACCTCAGAATTCATCTTGTCCATACAACTCTTTCTTTTTCAAACTTCGTTTTAGAAAAGGTACAGCTGGTTGCTTATACAAACCAAACCTAATGGGCAATTGGTTTTCAAACCTCAACAATACATATAAAGGTTGTCCTTGGTTTTCAATGTAATGGAGATCGCCCGTTATGGTTGTTAGGTCATGAGGGTTGTAAAGTGAGACTTATGACCGTTTTTGTGGGGGTTCGTTAAGTGAATCACTGCAGTTGCTACATATACCTGAGGTTGTTAAGTGAACCCATTGTTTATCATGGGGCCCTTTTGCCCAAAACTGCAAAATGCTCTAAATTATGGTCATATGACCACAGGATCCTTCAAATGCAAACCAGATGCCAAGTGCCCAAAATGTGGGGATAGCCTTCGAAACTGAGTTATAAGTACCCTTGGAAAGGTTTGTCATAAGTTTGAACAATCATAAAGCAAGTGATTATAAGTCAAGGCCTGTACCCATCTCCACCAAGGAAGTTCTTGCCCTACTCAGTGCAAGAATTCAAGTTTATAGAGTCCTTGTCAGTTCTGTGATCTCTACTTGAATGCATCTAATGAAGGAGCACATACTACCTCCTTAATTCCAGGTTGCTTCTCTCCTTGATTAGTTTCCAACCATTGTTTCTTGCCTTGACCTTCCGTGCTTTGTAGAATAGTTTAACCCCCTCTTTTTTGTGGCAGCTTCTCAAATACTGGAATACCGCTATCATGTCCCCCCTAGTCCTTCTTTTCTCTAGACTAACCAAACCCCAAGCCTGCAACCGTTCTTCATACATCGGCAATAACCTGATGTTAGATCTGCAACTGCGCTGGATTTGACAATGAACAACTGTGATTGTATTCATTTAGAATTATGCCACACTGGCACCATTACGAGGAACTGTATTCTCACGAGGCAGATTTTTAAGAAAGAAAGAAAAACTGGGCCATAATCATCATCCCGGGGACAAGCTTTCCTCCCCGAGTACCTCTCCGGGAGGGTTCACACATTTGGGGTTTATTGAACAAACCACGAGGGCTTGTCCCATTCTACACGCAAGTCTTATAAGTCAAAACGATGCGAGTCATAGGCTTAATGCACGTGTGGCCCCTTTCGGCGAAAAGGCCCCACGAGCTAGCCCAGAGATTGTGCCCCCCCCTCCCTCCAGCAGATCATTTTGGGATCGAGAGCCTCCACCTGAGCCATGGAGAAAGATCACAGAAGCCGTGTGTCTCCCCGCCGGGCCCACCGATACCAGACCCTTCTGCAACGCCGCCTGAACAGCCATAGCGCCTATATTTTCTTCCACTGGCCGAAAGGGGTGGGTGCGTTGGGGGAAGAAAAAAAAACACAATCAGGCCGCCGCTTACGGCGCAGCCGCGCCTGGGAGGCGCACGGAGCTTCTGGCAGCAAAGCTCCGCCTCCCGCGAGTTCCGCGAAAGGAGCTCGGGCGTGCGGGCCGTTGTGTGTTGTGTGTTGCTCGTCTGGATGAGAAGAGGCGGGAAGTGGTGTTGTGGTGCTCCAGGCGCTGCCGTGTGAGACCGATTTTAAGTCTGAAAGAGATGGCTGTGAACGCGCTAAACGATACCAGTTGGCATTGTTTTCCTGCACTCAGTTTTTTGAAGAACCCCACTGCCTAATAATCGACACTGTTTTAAACATTCATTATCCCTAATCCAAAATAAAGGTTGCATTACCAGCCACGTTTACTACTTGGAGAGAGTGAGTTACGTTGCATTCACAGGAATTAAATCCTGAATAAAGCTGTATAACATTGCGAGGGCAGGAAAAAAGAAAAGAAAATGGGAAAGATAGGCATTGGTGATAGAAACGGGTGTTAAGTTATTTTAAGATAATATTAATAGGACTTGAATTTATACAGGTTTTGCATCCCACAGAAATAGGAACTTGGTGATTATGTGGATCTACAGGATTTCTTCCTTTTGTGCCCAGAATGCAGACTTTTACATATTTCTCCTAGCCCTTGCATCCAACTCCTGTACAAGTGTGCCCAACCTGTCACTTTTCTATGTCACTGTGATGTTTTATCTACTTCCTAGTCAGCCCCTACTAAAACCATCCTTTGCTTTAACAGTGTTAAAACTATGTTTCCCTCTCAACTATTGCCATGAATGCAATCAGATACACTTCACACCTCACCAATCCAACGGTGTGGTATGTGATCAGCACAGTTGGGTTTGTCAAGGAATCTGCTTTTATACTAGGGCTTGGCTGTTGGCTAACTAGGAAATTCTGGGAATTTAAGTCCTCAGATCTTAAAATTGTCAAGGTTGGACACTCCTATTTTATGCCTTCCAAGATAGCTTGCTGCTGTCAGAAGTAGTGGAGGATGGTGTCCCATGGTCACCACAGAAACAAGACTCAATATTCTTTCTGGTTCAAGATCTACGCAGATTGTCCCATCAGACAGCAAAGTGTCTTGGCTGTTTTCACAATTGCCTGGTGCTGTCCACACTCCTTCCCTTTCTCAAACCTTCCTTGGCAACTCCTCAGATCTCCTTAGGAAGGCCTGGTGCTCATTTTGAGTATCACTGCAATTTGTAGGAGGCATTTTAATTTCCTGCATATGTGGATAAGTTCAGTAAACATAGCCAAGTAAACAGTTATCCTTCCCTTCCCAATTACTTTTTATATTGCTGGGGTCTCATATTTATAGCTTCCATGTTTTGCCTAATAAAAATATAAAGTGGTATTTTTTTCTCTCCAGCTTATGGTCTGCCATAATAGTAGCTTCCCATCTCACCCTTGCCTCATTTTTCATCACTTATTAGTTCATCTCTCCAGCTGTTCAGCATCACTACTGGGTGTGAAGGCACAATTCTGATGAGTTTACTTTGGTCCAGATTTATGGCATGTCACATAGGTAAACAAGTGTCTTATTCACATTTCCATTACAATATATTTATTTTGCATGACAACATCTGTCCACACAGCACTAACAGCACTGAAAAAGAAGCATTTTTTTCCCAGGTTAAATGATGTTTGGGGTGGCTTGCTTATAATTGGAACAAACTGTCAACAAGAGGAAAATCAAACATGTTGGCTGAAGCATCAAATTCCTTGTTAACATCAGGCATGACATCTCTTCCATTAAAAAAAAGACTTTGCATGATTTTATTTAAAAGTGAAATAGGTTGTAGTTAAAAGCTTCTAGAACCATCTTTCAGAGAACACATTATGCCATACATAATGGTTAGTCTCATTTGCAGTCATTACACTCCTGTGAAATAGGTCATGTTGTAGGATAATAGGTGATTCAAGCCAAATTTGATTCCTAAGCAACATTATATTTCTACCATGTCTTCTTGACTTTTACATATATGAGGATGCATGTGCACTACATGCACTTTGAGGTGGCTTGGTCTAGGACATCCATTAGCAATATCAATTATATCCTTAGTTTTTTGAAGTATTTTTTCCTGTATTTATTAATCACCTACAATCCAAGAATACCTCACCACACAACCCGAATTGGATAGTGAACCATACTCTCAGTTCAGCAGCTGATTTCCTAGAGAAATCACAGTCAACAGATTCAGAAATTTTGAGACAAATGCTCTGAAGTTTTCTGTTACTATCTAATGTGTGGCCAGGGGTGGGTTTCTACTGATTCTGTCCACCTCTGTAGAACCGGTAGCTCTGAAGAGCAGCAGATATAGAACCGGTTCTATGTCTGCTGATGTTTTTGCCCACCCACCCACCGGGGCTCTTACCTGATCTTTATTTCCTGATTTTTCAACTTCAGTTGCCGAACGAGGCACAGCTGCAGTTAAAAAAGCAGGAAAAAAGGGCTGTTTCAAAGGCTGCATCTCTGCACACAGCATGCTGATGACGATTTACAGGCGTGCGGCTCACAGCATGCAGGGAAGCTCGTAAATCCCGAACCGGTAGTTAACCCTGTCGTATCCCACCCCTGTGTGTGGCTGATGGTATGGGTGATCAATTGATGTGTCAATGCAAGAAGGCTTGGCTATCTCTCTTCCCTCTGTCCCACATATTGTACGCACTGAATGGTTATCTGAATGAAGTCTAATATTGTTCTGCAATATATCTGGTAGTTGGGGACGATTGTTCATATTTTACAGGGGTCTTCAAACTTGGTAGCTTTAAGACTTGTGGATGGCATGTTAGCTCAGGAATTCTGGGAGTTGAAGTCCACAAGTCTTAAACTTACCAAGTTTGAAGACCCTTGGTATAACATTATAAAGAAGAACAGTCATGCCTCTCTTGCTGCAGTCCTTTAAAAAGAGATGGTCTCCTTGGCAGATTTAGAATTCTGAACTATCATGCAGTGATGTTGCTGAAGGAAAGCTGGATCAGGGCCACTCCATATTTGGTTTGTGTGATTTCCTATGAGTCATAGTATTTGGGAATGGGAATATAAACAAAAATCCATAACCCAGAAAAATAATAGAATATATTTTAAATGGCTTCTCTGGAGACTTCTCACATTCCATTCCCTTTGCTCCAAGAACCAATTTAACATTCATTCTCTTATGAGAAAATCTGGCTTTGAAAGGTTTCTCACATTTTTATTGATATAATGGACTCAGGAAAACTCAGGAGCTTTCCTCCCTGTTTTTTTTTAAATAAATGCAGATAGATGATTTCTCTTAACTTTGGTCAGCAACACCCTGGAATAACTTTCATAAATCAAAGATAAGCCTTTCCTTAACACCACTTAAACTTGGTTGTGGGAAAATAAAGTCAGTTGACCTTTGTAGAGGTTATCTGGTAATTTGTTTATTAACAATTTCAATAGTTCAGAAGGTTTTTCTCAATAGAAGGTAAGGCAAATAATGCCATTTTCATTTAAAAGTCACTGGATGACAATGCCTTCAAAGAACTGCAAACTCATGAATGGATTTCACTATCTCCTGTGAAGATATTATCCGACACCACATGTATCACTTTGATTCCACCAAAATGGATTCCTCTTAGTCCTAGCCTACACTTACTATGCTTCCCACGGAAGCTCAGAACATCAACTGCCTTTCTTTCCCACAATTCAAGCCACAACAATTCTGGTTTCATTTAGTTATAATTGATAGAAGCCACCAACCATCATGGGAGAATCCTGCATTGAGTATACTAGTCTGCAATTCTTGGAGATGTAGTTCATCACTTCTAATGGGTCTCCAACCTTATTGAATACTACAGTAATGTTAACTGCCTGTTGCTTAATTCATAGCTTGTCAATCAAGCCTGTATTGTCACCACTTTCATGGTCTCTCTGTGTGTCTTAATTGGTCAGGAAGCTTATGTCTCTACATGACTGAACCTTGAGACCAATTGCTTCACCCTGCGACCTTCAGTATACTCAACCTGTCACTGTGTGCTATACTGCTGAAGGTGCTTCCTTGTTATTTCCTGGTTGGATGCTGGTGTGCAAAAACATATTATTATTTTTTACTAGCAGCAGAAGAAATGCCACATCTGAACAAAAATAATGCAAAGACCATGCAGATAAGAAAATAAAATAAGGAAAAAGATACCAGAGATAAAATGTATTATACAACACATTGTAAAGAAGAAAAGTTATTTTCTTGAAACTAAAGAGAGGATTATCTATTTACCTTTCTCCTTCTGTTCTCATTGTTTTGAGCCAAAGTTCTTTTTGTCCCTTCAAATCATTTGTCCGTGTTTTTCCTTATTTTCCAACATTTTTTTCCACATATCTTTTTAAATATATATTTTTCTAATGTCCTACATTTCCGTTAAAAAAATTACCCAATTGCATTTCTTTTTTTAAATTTAATTGAACTTAAAAGCTTTATTAAACTGTAGCGAATTACAAAAATAAATGATAATTGCAATCCAGTTTATTTAAGAATAGGCAACATGATACTCATTGACCCCAATATGATGTGGGCACTATCTTTGATTCCTCACAGGTTCCCTCTCCCAGTTGAATTTTTTAAAAGAAATATTTTAAAATGTGCAAAAGATTAGCATGTTGTAACTCATAAGTTTTCAGGATCATATTTATTTGTGGGAATGTTTGGGGGTCCCCAAATGTTCTAGGATGACAGAAACATTTTGGGCTACTTCCCCATCTGATGGATAGGTGTTCAGAGATTGACTAAACATATCATAGCAGCCAATTTGTAAATGGGCCAATTCTGAATGAGCATTCATGTTCTTGAAATGCACCCTCACTCTTCCAGTTTAAGAAAAACTTGGCCACACTAAGATACTTTGGCAGTAGCTTGAAACCAATTCAGTTTGGATTGCAGCCTATTGGACCATTCCTTTGCTTTTGTCCTCTTCTATTTTTTTGCCAATTTCTTTCCTTTCTCTGGGAGTGCCTTATTAGACAT